TTAACTGGCATACAGATCAGACTTAGAACTCTAACCTCACTGTTGACTGGCACACAGACCACGTTGGGATCTCTAACCACACTAGATTGGCACACAGATTGGGTTTGGAATATCAAAGCACCTTGTCAACTGGCACACACACTGGGTTCGGGATATCTAACCACAGTGTTAACTGGCACACAGACTGGGTTTCGGGATATCTAAAAACAGTGTTAATTGGCACACAGACTGGGTTTGGGATATCTAACCACCATGTTAACTGGCACACAGACTGGGTTTGGGATATCTAACCACAGTGTTAACTGGCACACACACCGGGTTTGAACATATAACCACACTGTTAACTGGCACACAGATCAGACTTAGAACTCTAACCTCACTGTTGACTGGCACACAGACCACGTTGGGAACTCTAACCACACTAGATTGGCACACAGACTGGGTTTGGAATATCTAACCACATTGTCAACTGGCACACAGACTGGGTTTGGGATATCTAATCACCCTGTTAACTGGCACACAGACTGGGTTTGGGATATCTAATCACCCTGTTAACTGGCACACAGACTGGGTTTGGGATATCTAAAAACAGTGTTAATTGGTACACAGACTGGGTTTGGGATATCTAATCACCCTGTTCACTGGCACACAGACTGGGTTTCGGGATATCTAACGACAGTGTTAACTGGCACACAGACTGGGTTTGGGATATCTAACCACAGTGTTAACTGGCGCACAGACAGGGCTTGGGATATATAATAATCCTGTTAACTGGCACACAGACTGGGTTTGGGATATCTAACCACAGTGTTAACTGGCACACACACCGGGTTTGGACATATAACCACACTGTTAACTGGCACACACATCAGACTTAGAACTCTAATCTCACTGTTGACTGGCACACAGACCACGTTGGGATCTCTAACCACACTAGATTGACACAGAGATCGGTTTGGAATATCTAACCGCAATGTTAATTGGCACACAGACTGGGTTTGGGATATCTAACCACAGTGTTAACTGGCACACAGACTGGGTTTGGGATATCTAATCACCCTGTTTACTGGCACACAGACTGGGTTTGGGATATCTAATCACCCTGTTGACTGGCACACAGGCTGGGTTTGGGATATCTAATCAACCTGTTAACTGGCACACAGACTGGGTTTGGGATATCTAACCACCATGTTAACTGGCACACAGACTGGGTTTGGGATATCTAACAACAGTCTTAACTGGCACACAGACTGGGTTTAGGATATCTAACCACCATGTTAACTGGCACACACACTGGGTTTGGGATATCTAACCACAGTCTTAACTGGCACACAGACTGGGTTTAGGATATCTAACCACCTTGTCAACTGGCATACAGACTGGGTTTGGGATATTTAATCACCCTGTTAATTGGCACACAGACTGGGTTTGGGATATCTAATCACCCTCTTCACTGGCACACAGACTGGGTTTGGGATATCTAACCACAGTCTTAACTGGCACACAGACTGGGTTTAGGATATCTAACCACCTTGTCAACTGGCATACAGACTGGGTTTGGGATATTTAATCACCCTGTTAATTGGCACACAGACTGGGTTTGGGATATCTAATCACCCTCTTCACTGGCACACAGACTGGGTTTGGGATATCTAACCACAGTGTTAACTGGCACACAGACTGGGTTTAGGATATCTAACCACCTTGTCAACTGGCATACAGACTGGGTTTGGGATATTTAATCACTCTGTTAATTGGCACACAGACTGGGTTTTTGGATATCTAAACACCGTGCTAATTGGCACACAGACTGGGTTTGGGATATCTAACCACACTGTTAACTGGCACACAGACTGAGTTTGGGATATCTAACGACAGTCTTAACTGGCACACAGACTGGGTTTGGGATATCTAACGATAGTCTTAACTGGCACACAGACTGAGTTTGGGATATCTAACGATAGTCTTAACTGGCACACAAACTGGGTTTGGGATATCTAACGACAGTCTTAACTGGCACACAGACTGGGTTTGGGATATCTAACCACCCTGTTAACTGGCACACACACCGGGTTTGGATATATTACCACACAATCATCTGTCATAGGTCGCCCTTTTCTGACATCTTCATATTTACTTAAGACTTTGGAGTACGTTCGAACATGGTGATTATCGTTACCGAATGACAACGTTCAATTTTGACCTGAATGAAAATGATTTTATTACAGTTATATTTTGAAAATTCATTCTAGAGAATATGTGTAGTGTAAAGATATATCTGTTACCAGTGTTTTATTGGAAATCAGATCACATTTCATGTATAAAAAAGTCTTATCATTTTAAGTAAAGTTGAATGAGCTTAGTGTTTCGAGTTGTTCAACCAAGCCTTCACCTAACCTTCACGATATGTTTCAGTAGGGTAAGAGAAATCTGCAGTGTCGAAGACACCTGCCTTTTCATTCCGAGTGATTAATGCTAACAAAACGGGTTTTTACGTCCACTATTACGACCTTTCGGTCTTTCAGCGGACGAGCACAAGACATACTAAGGCCATCGAACATATCTGAACTCTTACAACACAATAAAACCGACCCCAGGAAGCTCATGACGGAGATTGTATTTTGTTCCAAACATTTCATCAGCTTGCATCTCTGTCTTTGATATCACTGTTTCTAACTGTGAAAAGCAAAAAAAAAAAAAAAAATAATAAATAAATAAAAAAAACCCCAGATTTTCATTTCATATTCTATTTATTGTACAACAACAGTTGAAGTGTAACAATTTACATAAATTAAAGTATGACATAGATATTCATGATAATAGTAGGATGAAACAGCACAGAAAACTATAAATATCTATAAATAAAAAAATGTTGTACAGTTACACATGGAAATTCATATTAAAGTCACGAACATGCTTTCCTTGCTAAAATGACCAAATTGTTATTTCATACACGTTAAATCTCAAAAAGGCTTTGTGTTATATATGAAGATTACGTATTTTACAAGTCACTGTAAGCAAGGTAACCAACGAGTCAACACAAACATAACGCGATGAAAAAAAAACACTATCTAGATATATCGAAAGATAATATTCAACTCATCAACGATTAAATCAACATTTCTTTATGATTAATTATATTATGTTATGTGACGTAAAATCAGTTCATGAAATGATACACAGTCGACACAGAGGCGGCACACTGGGATTAGTCTGTTGTGTCACGTTAAATAACATGGTCGTATGCCTTCTGTGAAGTGAAACTGTTGAAATAGCACGATCTCCCTTGTTTTATAGAAGGAAAATACAATTTTACTGTGAGATGCTTTGCTATATGTATCATTTTAAACAATAACTTAATATACTTAGTTATCAGTATTTCAATGACTGATTTTACCTACAGATATGTCTGTCCATTGTAGTCCGTGCTTTGAAGGTTGCGATGTTTCGAACATCAAGCCTCAACCACGAGAGCACGCGACAGATAGTATACATTAAGCAAATGTATGTTCAACACAAACCAAATGATCACGTCATGTGCAAAACATAAGGTATTACGAAGTTGTAACATGTTTAAGAACAACTCAGATATGTAAACAGTCATATGACAAGAGAAATGTCTCAATTCTAGTGTGTTTCGTTATATACACTTAATATGTGATACAAATTGTCAGAAAGTATGATTCTGTCGTGGTTCACATTGCCAAGAAAGAACAATTCCGTCGTGGTTCACATCGTGGGTAAAGTATGATTCTGTCGTGGTTCACAACGTGGGTAAAATATGATTCTGTCGTGGTTCTGTCGTGGTTCACATCGTGGGTAAAGTATGATTCTGTCGTGGTTCACATCGTGGGTAAAGTATGATTCTGTCGTGGTTCGAATCGTGGGTAAAGTATTATTCTTTCGTGGTTCACATCGTGGGTAAAGTATGACTCTGGTATGGTTCACATTGCCAAGAAAGACCAATTCCGTCGTGGTTCGAATCGTGGGTAAAGTATGATTCTGTCGTGGTTCAAATCGTGGGTAAAGTGTTATTCTTTCGTGGTTCACATCGTGGGTAATGTATGATTCTGTTGTGGTTCACATCGTGGGTAAAGTATAATTCTGTCATGGTTTCCATCATGGGTAAAGTGTGATTTTGTCGTGGTTTCCATCGTGGGTAAAGTATTATTCTGTTGTGGTGTACATCGTGGGTAAAGTATGATTCTGTCGTGGTTCGAATCGTGGGTAAAGTATTATTCTGTTGTGGTTCACATCGTGGGTAAAGTATGATTCTGTCGTGATTCACATCGTGGGTAAAGTACAATTCTTTCATGGTTTCCATCGTGGGTAAAGTGTGATTCTGTCGTGGTTTCCATCGTGGGTAAAGTATGATTATGTTGTGGTTCACATCGTGGGTAAAGTATGATTCTGTCGTGGTTCGAATCGTGGGTAAAGTATGATTCTGTCGTGGTTCGAATCGTGGGTAAAGTATAATTCTGTTGTGGTTCACATCGTGGGTAAAGTATGATTCTGTCGTGGTACATATCGCAGGGAAAGAGTGTTACATTCGTGGTACATACTGTCAGTAACGTATATTTAGTAATAGCCACTATTTGGGACAGCGTGTAAAAAAATCCGCCATTCCATACAACCAGGAAAACAAACGGATGTCATAAGTAACTGACAACGACTTTTTTATACATGTGTACAAAGTTACCACGACATATGACATTTACCCACAAAGATTCTTATTGTTTACAACGTCGTGGATTTGAAGCCATGTAACAAATTGCACTAATCAGAACGCTGATCCCATCCGAATATCACTGATATATTTTTAAAAAAACACAGTATGTCATTTATCCAAACCGTTTCCATCATGAAAGATGGCCAACTCTGTCATATTAGTCGAAGTAAGGGGTAAATACAACTGGTGCAAAAGCACTTGTATTGACAGGTGATGTTCGAAATGCCTGGATTCGATGATAAAGAAGACGATATACAGAAGATATGTTTTCTCACTCTACACTAAAGTACGAATTCTGCATGGAGTACAGTTTGTCAATGGGATTTGGTACCCCACTTGAGTCTATAGCCGAGTGTCCCGATGTTTCGCCGTTAAACATATGATCCAAGCACTCCTCCATAGAATGACGCGCTCCTCCAGGAAGGTCGAGATCGTCGTATGGGGATGCTAAAAATAAACAATAAACGATGTTAATTAAATCTGTCTGGTCACGATCAGACGGAATGATTACATTAATATAACAATAAAAATAATGACTTAAGTACACATCGTAATATCTGTGTTATTTCGTTTATTGTGGTAAACAACAGGATAGAATTTATAAATAGAAATAGGTGTGACTAATGTTTACCAAATGTACTATTGACAACGTAGGAACTTATATCAAGTTACATATATCAATAAAAGAATACATATCTTAAAATTACTGTTAAAATGCTGCATTTTTTTCTAGATGTATTTTTCATGTGGTAACTTCTTATTAAAGTGTTTATAATGTCAATCACAGGTGAATAAAGTTACTGAAAGGCGGAAATCTTAAAATGCGATTTTTTTTTACCCCATCATATTTTCTCAGATTGTTTATAAACCGGGAGTAATTCACAGGAGAAAACAATTTTTGATAGAATAATATTTATTAGTGTTTTTTTTTATCATAAATCCTTTTAATGCGTTCTTGAACATTAAAGGAAACATGTCCGTCCCTTGGGTCTCCTTACTTCTGGTATTTTGAACAGATTTTCAATTGTCATTAACGAAAAGAATAATTTCTAAAAATTGTACCAGTTTCAATTTTTTCATGAGCTTATCGTATAAAAACAATTTGAAAAAAGCGTGTGAAGGTGTTTAGGTGTTTAAGAAGGTTAGTGTATATCTTTTGTACTTTGAGAACCTAATCTTCCTCGTCGGTTGATATGCTACTTCTACAAACAAAGGATATACAGTTTATATAAGGTAAATATTTACGGTACTCTTCAAGTAGCTCAGATTGATGTAAGGGAACAAAAGTACATCAAGCACATCGAAACCAATGACATGTTAGCGTAATGAGAATAATCCAAGATTTTCAACGAAATGTCTTGAGCTGTAAATGTCTTCATAAACAAATTACAGTTGTCTTCAGTAGCGGCTATAGGTCAAATCGATTTAATGTCACATCATCAAAACTAGAACAAGGGCAGTGATTCAGAATCAATAAAACTTAAAATCTAAACGGCAGATCATATAATAATTTTCAATGAGATCATGATAGTAACAGTATTGTAACCTTCATCAATTTGAATTTCTCCAACTTCCTATTATAAGTTTATATTAAAGTGTTCGATAAAAAAAGCGATAACAGGGGAAAAAGTTGTTTCCTGAGAAATTTTCTTATTTCCTTATATCAAAACCGCGATAACGTGAAAAAAACCGTGATTTCCTGAGAAATTCTGTTATTTCCTTTGAAAAAAACTTTTTGAATGTATCTCATTAAAAGTAGCCAGTCTTTGAAAATACTATTTATTTTTTGTCAGATGTTTCAGGTCATGTTTTTACCATTGATATTTCCTCAAATAGCTTTGTCCTATAGACTGTATCTTTCAGCTATGGTTTATCCAATAATGCGATTCCTATTAACAGACATACACTGAAGATACCCTGAAATATCGTTAAACATTGGTGACTTCAATTCTTGGTTCTGCTTCAAGACGTCAAACATCTTCTTCCAGTAACTCTACAATATGTCATCCAGTTTTTGCTTTGATGCTGTCTTGCTAATACTGTTTATTTCATTTCATTTTTTTATTGAATGATATGCTTATCAATAATGTGATATGTTACCTTGGTATTCGCTGGCAGGAAGTGGCGATATTTGTTCTGCATTTCCATGGTGACGGTTTTCTGATATCAGCGACCCTAAAAATCAAATTTTGAAATGAAGTTTACCGTGTTATTTTCTGAATGGAAAAAAGTTTATAACATCTTCACGAGATTGAACACATTCTAACTTTTATTTATTTATTTATTTATAGCTAGACAAAAGGTAGATTTTAGGGTTTGCCATTGTGATATTTGATCATACCATTTGCACTATACAACAGGTATATTAGTCCGTGTAGTAATCCTATATAGAGACAAGCCTTAAAAGAATATTCTCCAGTTTTCACGTTCGCTACAATAGCGTAGCTGTTATATATTTAAACCATTCCAATACAAAGTAGAAATCCTCTTGTGAAAAGCAATTTTTTTCAAAACTAAAAATCAGCAAAAAAAATTGTCAGAATTACATAAAAAAAGAAAAAAAATGTTGCCATATTTAAGGGAATACACTTCGGCGTTTACAGTCAACAATAAATGCTTACCAATTGATTCGTCGTCTCCAAGTCTAGTAAGACAATCTGTACAAAGAAAGGCATACGGTTACCAACAGATAGTATCAAACATTTATACAGGAACTTTTTACAAAAGACACACAGATGAAACTTATCATATCTTATCATATTTATTTCACAAAAGTCTGTATAGAATTGCATCCTTGTATAGTAAACACAAACTGAAGCACTGAGGGGTCAAACAGGGGTCATTACCTTGATCAGTGTCTTCGTCCTTCGAGTCGGACTTGGAGTCAGATTTGATGTCTTTTTTGTTCTCATTGTGTTTGTTTTTATTAGCGTTTCCATTCTTATTTCCATTGCCGTCCTGACTCTGTCTCCGAGCTAACTTTTTCACCTGGAATGTAAATGACATTGTTAGTTTAAATGAGAATATAGAACTGCCTTGTTCACTTCACATTCAACAACAATTACCCTTGACGCTTTAATCTTCGTCATGACTTTTTGGGTATGTACATCATTGATAAGAAAGAATGAAATACATCCATTAATGTAAAATCATGAATAACATAGTAGACATGGTATCTACCATATTGAATAAACATATTTACAACAAAACCAAAAATCATGAATTATATATAAACATAAGCGTGTTTAGCTCAGAAATACGCCACATGACTACAAAATTGCTTATAGCAACCATTTTATGGACTGTCAGATTATGTGAGTATTATAAATTATGGTTATCCATATCACATCAATATTTACTAATAACACAAATATTGCGGTTTTAATTTGCGGAAATTTACAGCATTTATAAACAATGTCTATAAATTATAGAAATTTACAATTTTTTGTGAGTTTGTCAAACCACTTTTTTTATTTCTGTTGAAACAGATGTATGTGTAACCAAAGTAACAGATGGTGTACCTGGAGACCCTTACCTTAGCTCTCTGGTTCTGAAACCACACCTGTACGACCCGTACACTCAGTCCCGTCTCCGCCGCCAGTTGTTCACGCACCTGTTTAAGTGAATGTCTCAACAATGTAATTGATTTACAATACCCCAAAGAGTTTACAAAATACATATACTACTGACAACACATCTATACATAGTTTTTTAATTATACACTCTACAAAATATCGGATTATTTGGTAACGAACCTTTCGACATGGTTTTGGATTGAGTTCGAAGGCTGCCTTGAACTTCCGCCTCTGGCTAGTTGTGAGTATAGTTCTAGGTCGCTTCGGATGTTTTCCTCCGTCACTTTCTCCGTCCTCGTAACTCTCGCTGTCGTCACCTGGGAAACCAGCAATGATAAAATTTTATAAAACGTAAGGATTAGCAGTTTCATTGGTGTTATAGAAACAATTATTTTAAACTTTGTATATATATAAACATATTTCGCTAACACCGTGCTCTTAAAACATTTCTGAGGAACAGTGTCTGCAGCACCATCTCTGAATAAAGAGTCTTATTTTCACAGATCTCTTGTTAGTTTGCCTGTTGGCCCCGTTGATGTATACCTTTTTCTCATTTTAGAAACGTGACATTACATAATTGGATTGACCAAGATTTACATGGCGGGTCGTCGATGAAGCAGAAGACGCTTACTATTCCAGAATACCTGGTCTTATTCTCCATATACTATTTCAGGAGTCTCCATGTAAATCTTTCTTTTGTTCATATTTTGCAATAGTTAGATTTTTTTTATTATGATAATGTTGACATGTTGGAATTGTCTGGCGCAGTATTACGTAAAGACTGTATCCTGTTATAAACATTATCATATTTTTGCGTTTGTATTTTGCACTTCTGCCAAAAGCGTTACTTGTGAAATCAAACCACTTGTTTTCAGATGCCATAAAAGAACACGCGACCGTATGTAGGTACTTTATAAAACTGACATATCTAGTTTTATGATTTCAACCAGGATCAATACTCAGAGATGTGTTTATAACATGTATTTTGCGTGCGCTAGAAAACGACCAGTGTTGACGGTTCTAGTATATAATTACGTTAGATTTTCAGTAACCAAGACACATAACGACCTCCTTACGCCTAGACAGCAGCCTCGAATGCTTGTTGTCGGACGATTATCCCCCACGTTTGCCAACCCCAGCACGTCACAATCAATAATCCAGTCCGGACTCCGCTTCCTAATCTACCATACACCATGATTATCTAACTTTCGAGTCGGCGACGGAAGCTGTCATAACATCCGTCTGATTCGTGTACGTGTCCTCACAGCTTTTTACTGCACATTAACCAATACCTATTTGAATGTACACGCGCGCTATAACAGAACTTAGGCTAAATTGGCTAATGAGTAAATAAAATATTTTAGTTAAAAACAACGCTTACACTCTCGTAACACATAATCGTATTCTCCTTTTTTTTACCTTGTTTGCACTTTTTTTCTGATATTTTCTTGTAAATCTTTCTTATGTTAATATATCCCAATCGTTTCATTGAACTTGAGATTGAATTATTTGTGTTGACACGTTAGTATTTTTGTTGTTGTTTATTGTTAACACAAGTTTTGTTATTTCAAAAGTACTAATACTCTTCCTTTGTCTATTCTTGTATTCATTTGTTCAAAATGCACGGCATTTATTATCTGTCCAAATATTCTTTAAACTTCCTCAACATAAGATGGTTTTCATGGTATGCGTCCTGTTCTGAACAAATGGTTTATTACATGTTTACAGAAATCTAGACTTAATTTTTAAATGAATAAATTAGAGCCGATAATATATTTGTGTCAGTACAGTATTCCTCAACCTAAACCTTGGAGATAATGATATCCACAGTATAACGACTGGTATGTATTTTTTGTATGAATATACAATCCGAATGATGGAATTTACTGTTACAAAACATTAATGTTTGTCGGTCATAATATTGTTGTTTCTATAATATTGTATTTTTCTTACGTACAACTGCTACAGAATGACATAAACTATGACACACAGAAGTCATACAATTCTTTAAACAGTATATACTTTTATCAGAATATACTTATTCTTAAAACGTTTCGTAATTTGAATGACCAGCACCTACACGTGATGTAACGTTGCAACAACCATAACCTGTTTAAAGATTTTCGGAAATATTGACCATCGTACAATTAATTATACATAAATCTTGTGTCACGTGACTATGTATACTTAGTTTTGTTTACAATATGGTGTCGATTAATTTTATTCCTTATTTGGCTCCACTGCATTTTATTCTAAATTTAAAGTGTTAGTCACATGTGTGTCTTTCGTATAATCTTTAATATGTTACAGGCGTAATGTGATTATGATAATGATGTATAAGAAATAATTACCATGATTTAGTGTCATTATGACTTTATCTCTTATGTCTATAAGTATATTCTATTCTACGTAAGGTAAAAAAGTGATGACATAAATAAATAAAAACGATCAGTAATATAACAAGTTTAACACCCATAATGCTGAAATTTACTGTAAACAAACTTTTTTAACGGAGATTTAATTTCGCGATTTACATTAATAAATCTGGATATTTAGAACCGATTTCAATTCCGTCTGTCAAATTTTAGTGTAACATGGTGATAGTATTAGATACTACAACTGATACAGGTATTTATTTACATTGAGAAACTAAGCACGCCGTGTCCATGTTTTTAAAATGATCACACTACATCTTACGGATTTGATATTGATATATAGTGAACTACAAGGTTTACATGTACTATAATGATAAAAGATAACAAATCTATCAATATCGATTTAAACGTGATATCGATTATCATGTCAATCGCAGTGTTTATTAGATTTCTTTGATTTCTCTCATGACAATATACAAAAGACACAAGTGAATATCTCTCTTTAATAGTTTCAGATTTATATACAGTAGAGTCAAACTGCACCATACAACTGTTTCCCCCTTATAGGACTCGTCATTGATGCTAAGGGTTTAAGTTTTAAAGCCTAGGTATCGACTGAGGAAAATCCAACGTGATCGGAAGAAAAATCAAAATCGAGATAGATTGGGAGATGCACTGAATAAATTAACTGATATAACAGATATATATATCATTACAGACTAATTACTACAACTTAATGCTTTAATCAATATTAAATTGACAAAAATCATACAATGATTGATTGACAGTGAGAAACATCAAGCATAATACATCTTGTTACCGCCAACTACCTCACTGAAGTGTTAAGGTAGTTTGCAGCACTTTCTTATCAAAGTTTACTATTAATATAGGAGCTGAGTAGTAAGTAAATCAGAGGAATATTGTCAGGCTGTAATCGAGCTATTGGTAGATAGCGCGATATCCATGCCCTCATTTGCTGTCAGTTTGGCAATAAAATTAACATTTTGATAAATAAAACATATTCGCTGATGTACTACTGAGGATTACCGTAAACCATTCCAAACAGGGAAATACATGTACATTTTCTATACGAAAACTCATGTATATAAATTATATATCAGGAAACTGACCTTTTTTTTATACAATATAGAATATTCCCATGGATAATTACATCTGTGTGATACAAATTGACTTTATAACTGTTTTGTATTGAAATTTAAATCTATATGTTATAATTAACAAATCGTTTGACAGGTCATTGATTTAAATGTCTTGTTCGTATAGATAAACTTTCTTGTGTTACTTTGTATCGATCAGTTTTCTGGCGGAATATACGGAAATGTTTGTGACCGAAAGAATTGAATATATCCAGTTAACTATATCTTTTTATAAGTCACAGGGTGTTTGCAAAGTCCATAACTGATGATATGACAACTCTGTGATATAGATATCTTGTAATTTTCTTCCATTTTATGTGACTGGATTTGAATTAGCCGAATATAAATCAATGCATTACATTGTAAGTGTTTGAGTGAATCTTGCCTAGAATAAAGCTGTTTTAGCTATGATAAACGTATCTCTTTATCAGTTAGACAAATACATCTGTGCATCTGTGATCTGTGTACATGTCATCTACATGTTCGTTATATATTAATGTATATGTGTTAAATTTTCATGAACATAATTCTGTTTGTTATTTGTAAATACATTTGTGTTATATATAAATACTTTTGTGTAAACGATATATAAATACATTTGTGTTATATATAAATACTTTTGTGTAAACGATATATAAATACATTTGTATTATATATAAATACTTTTGTGTAAACGATATATAAATACATTTGTGTTATATATAAATACTTTTGTGTTATATATAAATACATTTGTGTTATATATAAATACTTTTGTGTAAACGATATATAAATACATTTGTGTTATATATAAATACTTTTGTGTTATATATAAATACATTTGTGTTATATATAAATACTTTTGTGTAAACGATATATAAATATATTTGTGTTATATATAAATACTTTTGTGTTATATATAAATACTTTTGTGTAAACGATATATAAATACATTTGTGTTATATATAAATACTTTTGTGTAAACGATATATAAATACATTTGTGTTATATATAAATACTTTTGTGTTATATATAAATACTTTTGTGTAAACGATATATAAATACATTTGTGTTTGTTATATATAAGTACATTTCCGTTCATTATTATAAAAAAGTGTTCGTTATGTTTAAATGAATCTGTGCTAGTGATATAAACAACATATCTGTTAATAATATATGAAAATATTTGTATTATTTATGTATATATATATTTGTGTAAGTTATATATATATATATATTTGTTAGTTATGTTTGTTTGTGTTAGTTATGTTTGTTTGTGTTAGTTATGTTTGTTTGTGTTAGTTATGTATATTTGTGTTAGTTATGTTTGTTTGTGTTAGTTATGTTTGTTTGTGATAGTTATGTGTATTTGTGTTAGTTATGTATATTTGTGTTAGTTATGTTTGTTTGTGTTAGTTATGTTTGTTTGTGTTAGTTATGTATATTTGTGTTAGTTATGTTTGTTTGTGTTAGTTATGTTTGTTTGTGATAGTTATGTGTATTTGTGTTAGTTATGTTTGTTTGTGTTAGTTATGTTTGTTTGTGTTAGTTATGTTTGTTTGTGTTAGTTATGTGTATTTGTGTTAGTTATGTTTGTTTGTGTTAGTTATGTTTGTTTGTGTTAGTTATGTTTGTTTGTGTTAGTTATGTATATTTGTGTTAGTTATGTATATTTGTGTTAGTTATGTTTGTTTGTGTTAGTTATGTATATTTGTGTTAGTTATGTTTGTTTGTGTTAGTTATGTGTGTTTGTGTTAGTTATGTGTATTTGTGTTAGTTATGTATATTTGTGTTAGTTATGTTTGTTTGTGTTAGTTATGTTTGTTTGTGTTAGTTATGTATATTTGTGTTAGTTATGTTTGTTTGTGTTAGTTTGTGTTTGTGATAGTTATGTGTATTTGTGTTAGTTATGTTTGTTTGTGTTAGTTATGTATATTTGTGTTAGTTATGTTTGTTTGTGTTAGTTATGTTTGTTTGTGATAGTTATGTGTATTTGTGTTAGTTATGTGTATTTGTGTTAGTTATGTGTATTTGTGTTAGTTATGTATATTTGTGTTAGTTATGTTTGTTTGTGTTAGTTATGTTTGTTCGTGTTAGTTATGTGTATTTGTGTTAGTTATGTGTATTTGTGTTAGTTATGTATATTTGTGTTAGTTATGTGTATTTGTGTTAGTTATGTGTATTTGTGTTAGTTATGTGTATTTGTGTTAGTTATGTAGTTATGTGTATTTGTGTTAGTTATGTGTATTTGTGTTAGTTATGTATATTTGTGTTAGTTATGTTTGTTTGTGTTAGTTATGTTTGTTCGTGTTAGTTATGTGTATTTGTGTTAGTTATGTATATTTGTGTTAGTTATGTGTATTTGTGTTAGTTATGTATATTTGTGTTAGTTATGTATATTTGTGTTAGTTATGTATACTTGTGTTAGTTATGTGTATTTGTGTTAGTTATGTATATGTATATTTGTTAGTTATGTGTATTTGTGTTAGTTATGTGTATTTGTGTTAGTTATGTATATTTGTGTTAGTTATGTGTATTTGTGTTAGTTATGTATATTTGTGTTAGTTATGTGTATTTGTGTTAGTTATGTATATTTGTGTTAGTTATGTGTATTTGTGTTAGTTATGTATATTTGTGTTAGTTATGTATATTTGTGTTAGTTATGTATACTTGTGTTAGTTATGTGTATTTGTGTTAGTTATGTATATTTGTGTTAGTTATGTTTGTTTGTGTTAGTTATGTGTATTTGTATTAGTTATGTGTATTTGTGTTCGTTATTTATAAAGATATTTGTGTTAGTATCATATGCTTTACCAATTTGGAATAACGACTTACTTTTCGGACTAAGAGGCAGCATGTGGAATTCCTTTTCATAGTCAAGTCTGCAAAAGAGTTGACCATCCCTGATGACGAACTGGTCACCCTTCTGAAGCTGCTGACCACACTCGATACACATGAAACACTGAAGGTGGTAAACATATCCCTGGGCTCGCATCACCAGTTCACTGGGCGACACAAACATTCCACATCCATTGCACATCACCCGAAACAATCTGAAGCAAAGAAGCCGGGAGTTGATACAGCAATTTACATTACGTAATAATTAGCTTCAGCACAATGCTTGAGTATATATAAGTATTATCAAGTCAGCCTGAGTAATCTGAAACCACAAAGTATCGTTTACAAATAAATGATATTACGTCATCCGAAACAATCAACAACAAAGTGCGCAGTTAAGATCGATATTACTTCACCCAAAACAACCAGCAACAAGAACATGTCGAATTAAGATGGATAATATTACTTCACCCAAAACAACCAGCAACAAGAACATGTCGAATTAAGATGGATAATATTACTTCACCCAAAACAACCAGCAACAAGAACATGTCGAATTAAGATGGATAATATTACTTCACCCAAAACAACCAGAAAAAGAAACTGTCCAGTTAAGATTAAAATATTACTTCACCCAAAACAACCAGCAACAAGAACATGTCGAATTAAGATGGATAATATAACATCACCTAAAACAACTTGAAGCAACAATGTGCCGACTTCAGATAATATTACGTCATCAAAGAACAACAGCAATCTTAGCAAAAGAAAATGACACTAAAAGGAGAACAAGCATAAAACCTGATATTATTACAGATCAATACATAAAATCTGAAATACGCTTTGGTTTTGTTAACTGAAGTTCTACAAAAAGTTTTTAAAACCAATTATGAAGCTGCGTGAACACAACATCAATTAGGTATCTAGATACTTATCTATAGGATGTGACTATCTATCTACATTCTTTAACATCTGGATATCAAGAGCATATACTTAAAGACAAAGAACTTCGTAATGCTTTCTATATGAACAACTGTAAAATGTGTATTATTTTCGTTGTCGTTCCGTCGTAGACGCGATTGTATAAAGGATGACAACACAAGGTACACAGAGTTGTCTTCACACTGCTCTTTCAACAATATCTTTTTTAATTGTGTAATCTATTTATTTGTTTATTTGAATAAAGCATCAATGCAAAAAAGGAACACGGCTTAGAAAAATTACAGAAATGGTTTTTCCAAATTATTCATGAGTGAAATTCATTTTTTCACAAACAAAGGAAAAAACACTATAATCTTGTGATTCGCCTTCTGAGAGATTGTTGGTCACGTGGGCCTGTATTTCTGCTTCAATGGGTTTTAAATAATTGCTTTATCAACTTTGAAATTGCACAAATGCTTTTCTTCAGAAGCTACTTGTGTTTTAGGTTTACTGCACTAGGTAAACCACAGGGTTTTGTTCTATCAGCAAGCGTCTAAAAGACGACGTAAATGAGTAGATAATGGATACAAGCGTCCAAAAGACTAAGAAGAATGGCTGGATAAAACAGATGAGTTAGTGCGACAGAGAACGCTACTTTATGCTGGTGTTTCCCGGAAATGACAAGCGCTTTGGAGACGATGAGACCCGCGGTGAATACAATCTGTAACAATAGTGGTCGAAGAGCCAGAACTAAAGAGCGGCAAATGAAATACTTTGGACAATGTTTGGCTGATGGGTTGGGAAATGATTCCGACAAAAACCCAGTGGTAACCAGACACGATCCTGTTAAAGGGATTAGCTGCTAAAAGGCAAATGCGAAAGGCGAGAAAGCACATTTCTGAAACCAACAAAAAGCTGAAACTATTATCTCTGCGGAGTTCTTCCGTTGAGGGTATACAAACCTTTTCCATTTGATAGGTGTAAAATAAACAAAGTATACATCCAATGCAGCATTTTATAAAACAAAATAGCTAGTCAGAAACAGGCCTCTTTATTCCGTGCCTATTCTAGGCCGTATTGATTCGGTAAGATATGTTGACAATGAGAGAGGCGACAACATACAACCAATTAGTTCTAACTCGAAGAGTTCTGATTAGAGTACCTCAATATATATTAACTTCTTTAGAAAGCGAAAAAAGATAGAATAAGACACTATAAAATCTATGCAAATCAATCTCAAAAATGTGAGATTTTCAATACCCGGAAATCATGAAATGAAGAAAATAATACCAATTAACAGCTAATGTCAACCCTACATAATCTGTATATCACAACAAAAGTACCACCCATCCTAATACCTTCCTTCAAAGTGGAGAAGTATTTAGTCGTGGGGTATATTGCCATAGCTAGAAATCTGGTTGTGGTAAAAACCCGAGATTTGAAACTGGTTACGTGTGTTCACAGTCAAAATACACAACACCTAAAATTGTGATACGTGGAAAAGTATACATGTACCATAGGTACGTAACAAAATCAAAATTAAAAGTCCTACTTTTGATATAACTGAAAGTAAGTGATCGTGAAGAGAGTCGGGCCTCACTTCTTGTTATCTCCCGGTCCTAACTTAATAAAAGAAGGTCAAACCATTGAGCTTTCTCGTGGTATTACCTTTTTTTCACAAATAAACACATTGGACTACCGTTACAGGTAAGTAAGATCGATTTGGACTTTCCTTACTATGCTTAAGAATTTCCACATTTTCTTTATATTAGAAAAAAATGTTGGAAGGAAAAACAATTAAATGATACAGATTTATTTGTTTATTTGTTTTTCAGTTTTGTAATATATACTGAATTGATTTGTTTATCAAAGAATTCTCGTTAAAAGTGCTATTCGCATGTGTATGTCTTAAGTAAAATATTCAGGTAGATATTAACACTGAAGAGATCATACACTAAGCAAGGACGACGGTCTCTATCACAGTGTTACCTAATTTTACGAAAATTTGATACCGAACTTTTTCACCTAGAAAGGACAAACAATAAATAATTGAGGGACTACCGACGTAAACGCAGTTTATCGCTTGTGTTTTATTACAAAGGGAACATAAACGAAAGTCCCCTATTTTTACGACTCCATGCATAATTAATCTATCAACATAGACGTCATACTGGGTAGATCGTCATAACGTTCCGTCGGGTACCATCATAACGACTGAGCTATGTGTGCTTCACGTCCCCGACCCAGTAAACTGCGCTCATAAAACCAGCATGCACAGCTTAGTTCTGGGAGTAATATCTGGAAAAAACGTCAGTGTAATTATTTGGACACTAATGCATAATGTTAAGAACGAGAAGACACGTGGTTGTAAAATCAGCACGCTACCGTACCGTAATATACGGAACGAACATGTATACATTGACAAAGGTATATCAGTGGTCTGTAGCACTGTTGTATTAATTTTAAATGTTGGAAAATCTTCACTCGATTATTAAATTGCATCTATGCCGGTATTTGCAACATATTAAGTACTTAAGTGAAAATAATCATTTAATAATATATGGGACAATGTAAAACGTACACAATATCACAGACAGTGGTAAGTAGTATGCGACAAGAAGTAAAAAAGTTACATGATATCACAGGGTGTGAAAAATATATATACAATAAACCTTAAACAAACATTAGGTATTGTCAAAGAGTGTGGAAAATAATTTATCGCATACTTGAAAAAATACTAAAATAACAATATCACAGAGAGTGGGAAAAGATATATGACACACTTTACTCGGTATCAAAGACTATGTCAAATAATATGTGACGTATTGTATATTGTATAAATATTACATAATGTTAAAAAGCAGGAAAAACGTGACGCACTAAAAAACATAACATAATGTCATTGGGTGTGAAACCCATTACATGGTATACCTATAAGCATTAAAGATATCAAAAAGCATACATAACCGTAGACTTTAACATATTTGTGCAGTACCAGAAATGATAATAAAATTTAAACAATCTGCTTTATCATAAACTGTAAAATAAGTATTTATATTAACACAGCGTATGGTTTATTCATATGCTGCAATATTATTCTTCTTTAGAAATATTCTATATATTACGTACAAGGAATATATTGTGAAAATATTATTATTTCTTTCCAAAACACATTTGTCTATGTACGATTGTTTATTCTTCATTGGCTATTGATTTTGCTCCGGTTATTATCATCATTATTTTCCACTATCCTCCTTCGGCAAGATTTCCAACATGTTTATTTAGAAGAGAATTTCACGAAATTTAACAAAGTGTTCGTGTATAAGAGGCGGTTTGTAAGAGTAGAAAAACAATGGTGACATCCTGATTTGGACAAGATGGCAGCCACATAGTGGCTTTGGTTTATTGAAATTAAGATGTGCTGTTTTGAAGAAAATGGATTTAAAGTATTGTCTGACATCAAGAACACAATCAATGAGTCCATTTTCTGATTTAACAATATGGCCGCTGAGGGAGCTTTTTATCGGTTGAAATACATATTAATCGATTTTGGTAAACATCGGTACATAGTTATTGTCTGACTAAAAATAACAACGATGATGTTCTTTCTCTTAAATGACTGCCGTACCGATACGATTAATTCAAATATTTTCAATTTTTATCGTATTTCCTTTTTCAGTCTCAACCTAACTCCATGTATAGAATTAAGACAGCGGGAGTGTTTGAGGGACGTATGTAACGGCCCCCCCCCTTACAAAAAGTAATAATAAAGATACCAATGGTTATATAAAATCCAAGGCTTGCAATTAAAATTTCGTCTATTCCTCATTTCACGTTTTTACAATATTAAATGCTGGAATTTATTCGAATTAAGGTAATACTTTGGTGAAATCGAACAACGCGGAATACATTTCATGTGATAATGTTATCAATACGAACTACACACACGATAAACTCTCACCTATAAATATGAAACAAAAGGGTTGCGAAAACTTGTTAACATTGGTAAATATATGTTGTATTTTACAATTCAGTCACGGTTGGCCTCAACGTCATGTTACGGTAAAACGGAAGGCGCTGTGTATACCAGCGTGACGCGCTGCCGTCAAAACCTTTAATGGCATATTTGTTCAACATCCAAGCATCTAACGGTCCGCGGATTTATGCTTTGGGGACCTTGATTGCTGACAATGGATCGATGGTACTAATCTGGTGTTTATTGGTGGTGAACGGTAAAGGAGTCTGCGAGGCTATCATCCACCAGTCCTGTGTTGTACCACTGCCGGAGTTGTGA